GGAGGGGGAGACACACCCGCTGGTGGGGCGGGTCCGCCGCGAAGCCCGTGGGTGGGCGCCTGGTCTGGGACGTTGGGTGCCCGTCGCCCACCTCCAGGTGGCTCTGGGCGTCCCGGGCCCCTGGCACAGAGTCTCCCTCTCCTGCAGACCGGACTTGGTTGCTCTGCCTCGACCCGTCGGAGAGAGCAGGACGCCCCTCCTCGCTGGCCCTAGCCAGCGTGCTGGCCTCTGGCCTCCGTGTCCCAGGGAGAACGCCCAGGCCCGCTGCGCTTGGTCTTCCTGGGTGTTGGGGCTGTGGGGAGGAGGGTGGCCAGGTGCTCTGCCCCGGTTGTTTTCTTCCCTGCGTTTACTGAGCATGGCTGGGCCTCTTGCCCTGGGCCTGGTGACACCCTGGATTTCCCAGCAGCCAGCCGCGGTGTCTGGAGGGTGGCGCCAGGCAGGTGAGGCCCTCCTGCCCAAGGAGGCTGGGGATGGCCTGGGGAGACGGGAGTCTCCTGCCGGTCTGAAAGGCGGCCTAGACTGCCGCGCCCTCTGGGAGCCTGCGTGGTGGTCACCGCCCTGGCCCCAACCTGTTCTCCTGCTGTGCATCCCAGAGGAGGCCAGGGAGTGAGGGGCTTCTGCCAGAGCGGTGGGCCTAGGTGTGGACGAGTCCTGACAGCACCCGCAGCGTCGGCCTGAGACTCACTCCCTGGGAGGAAGTGTGTGAGGGTGTACCCTGGCCCCGCTGGACCTGACGCAGGGAAGGCTAGGGACTCAGTGGCATTTCAGTTCCTTGTAGAAAGGAGGGAAAAACAGGGTGTCCCTGTGACCTGCCTGCAAGAAGTGGCACTGGGTTTTACTCTGAGCAAAGCCACAGGCACAACCCCAGCACAGCTGTGTGAGTCCCGCAGGCCACCCAGCAGGGCTGTGCAGGGTGTGCAGAGGACGATCCAGGTGACGGTGTCCCCGGAGACAGAGGGCCTGCTATGGGGCACCGTGAGGGGAGTGGACAGTGGCCACTTTATCCTTGGCGTGGTCAAATGGCTCTTGGACACAGGCCGTGGACTCACTGTAAGGGCAGATGGCCGACTGTGAGGGCAGCAGCCCAGTGGGGAGAGTGTTCTGGGCTGGGTGTGGTGGTGTGTGCCTGTGATCTCAGTACGCAGGGAGGCTGAGGCAGGAAGACTGCTGAGTTTGGGGCCAGCCTGGACTACAAAGAGAGGCCTTGTCTCAAAAACAATAACCAAGAAGAGGTCTTGTTCAGATGTGTTCACAGGTGGTGGTCAGGCAGTCGGTGTCGCCCATGGGTCTTGGTTGCTGTTTGGGTTTGCTCTCTTGTGCACTCACCTTCCTGTGCCTCAGTTAGCCCAGCTGTGGCCTGGGTATAAAACCACTTCTGGGACCTGAGGGTGGAATTAGATGTGGTAAATTAGAGCATAGTGAAAACTGAGAAGTCTATGCAAATATGAAGGGTCTCACTCTGTAGTTCAGGCTGGACTTGGCTGAATATGTAGACCAGGCTGGCCTCAAACTCATAGCAATTCTCCTGCCTCAGCCTCCCAAGTGCTGGGAGTACAGGTCTGCACCATGATGCCCAGCAAGGATTGTTATTATGCTTCAAATGTTACTGTCCTGTGCTTGGAAACCACTACTTGCTTTTTTGAAAGACAATTGTAAATTGAAACATTGCCGGGAGGCTGAGGCAGGGAAGATTGCTGTGAGTTTGAGGGCAGCCTCCTGGAATACATGGTTCAAGGCCAGCCCAAACTGCATAACAAGGCCTTATCTCATAGAAACAAACAAACAAAATGTGAATCATGTAGGAAAGTATAAAGTACCCGCAGTCCCATCCCCACATAAGCACCACGTGTATGGGTGTGTTGCCTATCTTGCCTGTGTTGCTGTGTTGCATTTCCTGCGTGTGTACTTCCACTCGCCCAGCAGTGTGCTTTGTCACAAAGTGTGATGTTCTGCGTAGTCTGTGTCATTTGCTGCGCCTCCCTCTCCCAACTTTACGGTGTAAACACATCCTCAGTCTGGTAAAAATCCCCTGGACACTTGTGAACGGCTTGTGCTGTGCTTACTGTGGATTGACTTAGGCACCCATCTCTGTGGCTTTGGCTGCTTGGGATGTTTCCCTCTGCCTATCTGAAGAGTCTTCATGATCACCTGGCAGGGGAGACCTGGTCACTTCCAGGAGATGGCGAGGGTGTGCAGCGAGGAGGGCCGGGCTCCTCTGCGGAGGCCCAGGCCAGCTGGCTCGAGTGCGGTCCCTTCCAGGGGACACTGAGAGCCAGGCTCAGATCTCAGTCATGAGCTTCAGGGCAGCTGCTCCTCCTTCCCCGTCACCAGGTCCGGCTGCATGTTGAGGCCTGGGAGCCTCGAGTTCTTCTGGACGTGCTGCAGATCAAGTCCTGGGCCCTGATCGCCAAGAGGTGCATGTCATGTGCCCAACAGGCCGACACAGGTCTTATCAGTGTCACCACAGAAATTCTGAAGACCTCCTCCTAGGTGATGGGAGGTGTGCAGGCCTCTCCGGTGTTCCACTCCCCACCCCCTGCCACAGGTGGGGCGGGAGAAGGTGGGACTTCCCGTGGGAGAGTGTGCTGCCTCCTCAGGAGGCTCACATTCCTCCAAGGCTGCGTGGCTTCACACGTGCCCCTGGGGACCCCCAGCAGGTGAAGAAGCTCGGCCTCCCACCCAGCGGGTTCCCAGGGAAGGTTTCAGTTGCAGGACTAGGTAGGTAACTGGGTCAAAGGCTCAGGTGAGAGCAGTTCCTTCCTTGCTCTTAAAGTGCCAGTGGCCGAGCTGGGTTTGGGTTCTTCACGCTTGTGGGGAGTCTGGCCGTGTGAGGGGTCCCCCTGGCTGAGCTGCTCTGAGTGGAAGCTCGAAGCTGACTGACTGGTTTGGTTTCAGAGCTGTGATTCAGGAGAGGATCTTTCTGGGTGTGGAGGTAACTGCTCTGTGGGATCTGAGCAGCTCTAGCGTGGTTTTCCTCCAGAGGAGACATCTGATAAAGAGTTCGGTGACTAACACAGTGCTTGGCACATGGCAGCTGGAGAACAAATATTTGTCAGATGACTGTTAGTTTTCCAGGCGTCCATTTATCTCATCTTAACTAAAAACAAAGTAAGAACACCAAAAATGCAAATACAATATAACATCCCAAGCAACAGTTCTGCAGTGCGTGGTTTTTCCTTGGGGCGCCTGCCTGGGCAGGTCTGTTTCCGGCTGTGAGCACCAGCTCCCGTGCATGCTGTTGTCTGCTGTGCCCCCCGTAGTTTTATGTCAATCAATTGCAGACTTTACCCAGGCTGGTGCCTGTAACCCATTGGTTCATTCAGCCGGCACGGGCCAATAAACAGAACCGGGAGAGGAGGCTGGCCCAGCCGGGTTGCCTGTGTGACTGTGCAGGGACTGGGGCTGGATTATTCCAGGAGTTCTGTGCTTCACCACGCAGTAGCTGGACAGCATTCCCAGAGACCTTTCTCTTGGTGCAGTCTTCCGGTGGCCATCAGGAAGGAAAGCAGATTACGCCGGCTGCTCAGCTCTCTGTCCTGTGGACAGACTGCCTGCACCCCCACGTAAGCAAGCGAGGACTTTGGAATCCAGGACTGTCGCTCACCTACTCCCTCCCCAGGACAGTGTGACTGTTTAATGAAACATCCCACCCGCCTTCAGTTTTCCTGGTTCAGATGACAGCACGCCTCAGCTTCTCACCAGACACTTGCTATTTCCATAACTCTTGCCTTCCCTCTCTGAGGTGAGGCTGGAAGGCACCCTTACCTTCTCTTCCAAAGCCCTCTCCACTTCAGGAAGGGCTGTTGCAGCAGGGATGACATCACCTTTATATTTTCCTGCTTCGGGACTGGAACAGAAGAAATGTGATCTACCTGCGTGATAAGTGTGATTTGGCTAGAGCATGAAGTATGAATGGCTTTGGAATAAGAATTAGAAGAACCTTTTAACCTCTTTTCTTTTCTTCTCTACTTGGCATGGTTTTATTCCCATATTTAGTTTCTTTGCTGTAATCCAGTGAAACTGTAGCTCTGGCGTATGGGAACGGCGGCTGGGAGAAGCTCCCAGTGGCCGGCCTAATTCTCTTGCTCTGCCCACTTCTCAGCCCCTGGCCCAGATCATGGCCCTGCACCCCCGCAGAGTGCGGCTGAAGCCCTGGCTGGTGGCCCAGGTGGACAGCGGCCTCTACCCTGGGCTCATCTGGCTTCACCGAGACTCCAAACGCTTCCAGATACCCTGGAAACATGCCACGCGGCACAGCCCCCAGCAGGAGGAGGAAAACACCATCTTTAAGGTAAAGGGCTCCTACCATCTGAATTGAAATCTTTCCCAGTTTTCTCAGACCTCTCTGGCTTCATCTGCTGTCATTTTTGGCCCAGGGAATACAGTAAGTCCACAACTCCGACGAGGCAGGATATTTCTGGTGCTCCCTGACTTAGCAGGCACAGGGCAGTGACCCCTACCATTGGCTGCAGACCCTCAGCTCCTGCCCCAGAGGGCTGCAGGGGTCAGCTGGACGGAAAGCAGTCTTAGTGATGCAGTCTTCCCTGCAGGGCCCAGGTCGGCTCTGATGCCTCCTCGTCATTCGGCTCGGCCCTGGGGTGCTTGGCCTGGAGGTGGCTATACCAGGGGGGCAGAACTGTTGGGTGTTAGCAGGCTCTTGACGTAGCCCGGGGGAGGGGTGCAGAGGGCTGTAGCAAGTTACTCTTGTGATAGTAAGATATTTTCCCTACCTGTAAACTCTGCTTAAAAATTAAAGGTGATTTAAGTACAAATTTTAAATTTGTACTGGGATTGAACCCAGGACCTTACACTTGCAAAGCACACTACCGCTGAGCTTCATCTCCAGCCCAAATTGTTTTCTTAAATAAAAAATAGCTGTGATGTGATTGTCATTTTTTTTTTTAGCAGAAAACTAGATCTAATCACATAGCATCTTACAAAATTTAAGTGAATTAAAGCTTGACCAGATAAAGAGGTACATGGTTGTTGCATTTGCGGAAAGGGTTCTGCCCATGTGGTGGTGATTCCAGGGCCACCTCTGCTCTCAACCGGCTCCTCCCGGAGTCTCCTCCATCTTGGGAAGAGCTTTACTTCTTGTACCCCCAGCACATGGAGCACTGAGCCTGTGCTTTTCCCTGCTGACTACAAGCAGAAAGGCGGAAATGCATCCAGCCGGGACTGTGGTTCTTGCTGCAGTAGGACAAGGTCAGGGCCCCGGAGAGGCATCTAGTGGTGTTTTGCCCCGACTTGTCATGTCAAGTGTAAGAGCGGAGTCAGAGAAGGCTCTCCTGTGGGTGCTCAGAGAGAATGCAGACGGGCCCTCTTCATTTAGATATGAACAATGGAGCGTTCAGGAAAGTCGAAACCAGCTTCTGGGGTTGGTATCAAGAAGGTGGCCTTGAGCTGGTACTGGGTTTGCTGCCGAAGGGCCTTTGGCTGTGTGGAAGAGGCAGGTTTCCCGAAAGCCCCACTCATAAGGGTGATCTGCACGCCTGGGACTTGAAGAAAGTTTCAGAGAAGCCACTCCATGTTACTTTATCACTGTATCTCTTTGTAGAATGCTCGGGGAGGGCCTGGGGAGGGCAGCAGAAGAGTGAGGGTGTTTTCACAGAGCTGAGCTTGGATGGCCTTTGGCAAGAGGTGCGGGCGAGGCACTGCCTAGCCATGGGGTCTGTGTCTGTGGCCTCACTGAATTCTCACAGTATCACCTGAGTGTTGCACATGTAGGGTTACCCTCAGAGGGCTGCGTAACTTGTCCAAGATCACACAGCCAGTAAATGGGGGGGTCTGGAATTTCAACTTAAGTCTTTTTGGTCCCCTACCCTGCTTTCTGCCGTCATGCTGCCTGTTCTGACTCTGACCAGGAATTGGATTATGTGACTATGAATCCTGCCTCCACTGGCTCCGAATGTGGTCCTGACGAAGGCATGTCGCCTCTCCAGGCTCATTTCCCACGTAGTAAGTGAGATGATGCCAGTCTTGCCTCCCTCACAGCATTATTGTGAGAATCAAGTGGAATTCAGTATGGGAAGGGACTTGTTGAGCACCATAAGAACGCAGAGATCCCTCCATTTTATACTTGATCTTAGCCAAAAGGCCGAGAAGCCATTAGAGATCCCTCCATTTTAGAAAGAGAAACAAGGACCTGCATACTCAGCAGAGGCTCTGAAACAAGGCTCTGGTGGGGTTTGATGGAGTAATGTCCCTAAGTCTCGCTGGATTGCCGCGTGGCTCCATTCCTTGAGCCCAGTGTTTATCCGGCCACTCGGCTGCATCAGCCCAAGGTCCTCAGCATCATCCGAGCAGGCCAGGCACGCTGGTGTGAGCAGAAACTGGGATGCTGAGTTCACCTGGCTGCTCTCCATACATAGACAGCAGGATTCTGGGAAACACCAAAATCTAAGACCTCTGCCAGAACTGGCGCAGCCCAAATTAGCTGGTTGGGGACAGAGTGAGCATGAACAGAGGATCAAATAGGATAGAAAACATGGGCTATCATGTAGTGGTGCCTCCCAGACACGAGGGGCCCGTGGAGCTGGAACTGCCCCCGAGGTGGGGCAGATGGAATGGCAGGAGTGTCTGAAAGAGTTCCTCATTCCGCACCACAAAGCTCATGGAGGAGCCCACATCCAAGGGGATGGTAGGTAAGAGGAAGTGGGTCTGATTTGGAGGAGGTGGAGGACCAGATCAGCTCTGGGAAGATTCTCCCTCATGACTGCAAGGCTCTACAGAGGGGAAAGAACTCAAAGGATGGGGCAGAAAGATTGAGTCTCAGCTTGAGGAAGAAGTCTGGACAGAACCAGAGACAGAGTTGGGCTTGGACTAGTGATATGCTCTGTCAGTTATTTTAAAAACTTGGTGTGTGTTTCCTGTCTTGAATTCTCTCTGATCACATCTCCTTCTTCTGAATTTAATGTGTCTGCTTAGTGATCAGAAAGTATGTTAGCAACCAGTAGGGTTGGGTATCCTGGGAGTAGCAACATACAAGGCACGATCAGAGCTATGAAACATTTAAATTTAAACATTTTTGTACGGTAAAAGATATATTGCCGTGAATCCCCTCTAAACATATCCCCTTCCTTTGACCACACTCATCCCATCATTCTTGCACTTTTGAAGCAGCTCTGGCTGTCTGTTTCCTGCGTGTTTTGGAAGGCAGGCCTGTGGGAACAGTAAGGTGTGTCCCCGTTCATCTAATTCACCGGACCTGGTACTAACCGACTTCTGGCTTTTCTCCAAAGACAAAATGATTGTGAAAGGTAAATGTTTTGAATTTCAGGATATCGAGTTAGCCACAACTGTGCCACTAAAGGTACTCACAGAAGAGGACGTCCAGAACTGCTTCAGAACGTGGCAACAGTGACAGGATGTGTGCTCAAGCTGCCGGAGTGCATTTTGAGGGGGATTCATGGCAGTGTCTTTTTCTGTAATAAACTGGAAAAGCTACATTCACTGCACTTTGTGATCACACCATGTTAACTGTAAATCCTGTTAAGTAGGCCCCGGTTTTCTACTCCCTGCTCTGCTTTCTATACCGGGGGAACACGGCCTAGGGCATGAGCAGCCCAGATTTGATTTTCCCCGTGGGGAGACTGCTTGTTCCCCTTGTGTAGAGACAGTGTTGTGAGTTCCCAAATTTGGAAACTCAAGAGGAGTCTGAGTGGTTTTAGATGTGCCATTGGCCGCTCCTGTCCTGAGAGCATGAAGCTGGAGTTTGAGGAACAAGGACAGGAAAGGGGGAGCACTGGTTTCATAGGACTTGAGGCTCTGAGCCATCGGGGTATGCTGGATACCTGTCTTCTTTTTTTTTTTTGAGACAGGGTCTTGCTACATACTCTGGGCAGGCCTTGAACTCACCATGCAGCCTCAGGCTGGCCTCAAAGCAGCAAGCTTCCTGCCTCAGCCTCCTGAGGGCTGGGATTACTTGCATACACCACCACACCCAGGTCCCATCTTCCTAAAGACACCTGGTTTCTATAGTTCTGCATGAGCCATACTGAAGACTGGAGGCAAAAGACCAGCGGGCCAAACTCTTACTATCACCTGCCACCCACCTTTGTAATAGTTATGTAAGCAGCTCACGTCAAACACGAGAAAGGAAGCCTGCCTGAGCCCTGCTGTCCGAGAGCATGCTGCTACATCTTTGCTCCAGACCTTACTTTCAACCCTTTGGTGTGATGGTTGTCTTGACAGGTTCTGGCAGGAAGGCTTGAGATAAGGCAGCTCCTTCAAGCTACCATGTTTGTGTACAGCTTAATTTCCCTTGGCCCTGCTTTGTTTGTCCCTGAGGGCAGCCTTGCCTGCTGCGTCTCGGTGTGGTGCGGACTGGGCACTCGGGCGGGTGGTGTCTGCATGAGAAGGGGCAACAGGAGGCACTCATGGAAGTTTCCGCTCCTCAGGCCTGGGCTGTGGAGACCGGAAAGTACCAGGAAGGGGTGGACGACCCCGACCCAGCTAAATGGAAGGCCCAGCTCCGCTGCGCTCTCAATAAGAGCAGGGAATTCAACCTGATGTATGACGGCACCAAGGAGGTACCCATGAACCCGGTGAAGATTTACCAAGTGTGCGACATCCCCCAGCCCCAGGGCTCGATCATTAACCCAGGTGAGGCCCCAGCTGCTGGAGAGGGTGGGCAGCGTGCCAGGCGCTGGGTGGCACACTCAGGAACAGCTCTACTGCAGACAGCCCACTTCTCGGTGGTAAAATGAGAGCCTTTGCCTAGGACCCAGAGCATCCATGGCATAGACGCGGCAGATTCTGGCTCCTTTAGAGGAATGGTTTTTACCTGGACTGCAGAAGGCATGAGAAAGCAGAGGGACTCTGGAGTTCTGCTGTAGAAATAACCTCTCTTGGGGTTTGAGTGGCTGGAGGTTTTGAAGGAGGATGAGTTAGAAGTCTTGGCTTCTGTCACTTGGCTCCTGTCACTTCACTTGTGGGATCCAGACCACGTCACTGGGCCTCGGTTTCTTTAATTCTAAAAGGCGGGATCTCATCTTTCCTGCCTATTTCAAAGGCTGTTGTTAGAACAGTGAACAAGATCTGTAAAAGCTACAAAGTTCTTTAGAAATGTTGAATGAATAAATGTTCAGCTTGAAGGATATGCTGAGAGGGTGCCGCCCTATCCCCCTGTTTACTTGGTGTGAAAGAACCCTGAGAGCCAGATAGCCGAGACTCATGGTCCGGGGAACCCAGTGAGACTTGGCCTCGAGGGAAGGGTCCGTGCTTCACGTTAAGCTCACAAGGATGAAAAGCTGGCATCCTGTACTCCAAAGGGGTTCTGCTGCACCAGAAGCTTCTGCATAGCTGTGCTAAGGCGTAGAGATTTCCGGGAGGAGCAGGTAGGTTTTGCAGCTTCCTGGCAGAGCGAGAAGACAGAGCTTGCATCAGTGCTCCTTAGGGGGCATCGGAAGTAGGAATTAACACTCCCTTACTTTCCGCTTTTTCTGCCGGAGCTTGTGGCTGGCATGGGTGGCAGGTCTGCTGCACAAGTGTGTGGCGCTCTAGCTGCTCACCGGTGTGCTTGTGTCTCGCATAGGATCCACAGGCTCTGCCCCCTGGGATGAGAAGGACAATGACGTGGATGAGGACGACGAGGAAGATGAGCTCGATCAGTCGCAGCACCACGTTCCCATCCAAGACACCTTCCCCTTCCTGAATATCAACGGTGAGCAGCTGGTGGGCGGCGCAGAGGGACAGACAGGGGGCCCGTGGGTTTTGGCTCCAGAGCTGTTGCCCTCCAGCCACCCCTGCCCTGGAGCAGTGGTTGAGCCCTGTGGCCAGGCTGCTGGTCAGTTAGGAAGGAGGAGTCACAGGCCAGGGAATCTGCTGACTGTGTTACTACGGTGCCGTGGATGGGTTTATGATTCTAGAGAAGGTCTGATTTTGAAAATTAAATTTGAATTCATTCCTGGCCCCACATATATCAGTGGTTATAAAGTTCTGCCAGTTTCTTTCAGTGCAGATGTCAATTTATGAATCACAGGCAAACGTCCAGCTTCCCTTGGTATAAATTCTGTGTCGCTTCTTTAACAGGGAACGCTCTGCTTAGGATGTCCATGAGCAACCTGTGATTCTGTAGCCACCAACACTAGGCTCTGATAGCACTTATCTCCAGGAGCTTCTTTTATGGACCTTTGAATTCAGCTTCGCAGGAAGACTGAACTTCGCGATTAGGAGGCCACTGCCTCGCAGCAGCTCTGGGTCTCCTGCTGCAGCTCCGACTGATACGCAAACACAGTGGCGCTGCTCGACTGTACCCCTTCACACTGCCTGTCACTGGGCTGCTACTCACATGACCTGCAGCCAGGGCGCAGCCTTTCCCCTCCGTTTTACTGTCACTGTGGGACTGTGGGTTCAGTGATAGAACTTGCACCACCCAGAAAACTCCATATATCAAGATGCTTTCTTTAGGGTTTGGGGGACCCTGTTGTAGGAGGGGTCCCTATCACGGGGGTCAGGAAACTGTCTTTATTATCTGCCCACTGACCCTCTTAATCCTGCCATGTACATCGTTGACAAATTTCATGTAGATCTTCTAGGTCAAGATTGCCACACGCTGTATCCCACTTAGTGACATTTTAAGAGTCGTGCATCTAGAGATGTGAAATTCTTAGCTGACTTTCTCTGCTGTCCTCACCCCTCGAAAGGGTGCAGCTTATTTCTGGGGCGTCCTGCCTTGCTATTTCTGTTTGCATTTTATTAAGTTAGTGTGTGGCCTTGTTTGGGCTGCTGTGGGTCCTTGTGGGAAGTTGTGGAATATGTTAGACAACAGTGTAAAATGGGTACACACATTTAACTGGACTCGAACCCAAAGCATCAAAGAAACCCTCACCTCTGTGATTTCAGAGCTATTGGGGCAGAAGAAAAAGAAATACGGAAGAATAGATGCCTAAGAGGTGAGACTAAGGAGAAATCTGCAGACTTGGGAGCAAGTGAACGTTGACAGTAGCAGGGAAGTAGGATTAGGATTTTCATTGTTTTTAAAGATACTTTGAATACTTTTGAGTGAATACTTTGATATGTCTTAAAATTCACAATGAAGCCGAGCACAGTGATGCACGTCTGTAACCCCAACATTTGGGAGGCAGAGGCAGGAGGATCATCAAGAATTCAACACCAGCCTGGACTACACAGTGAGTTCAAGGCCGGTCTAAACTACATGGTGAGGCCTTGTCTCAAAAGCAAAACAAAACAGTAAAAACAAGGTACAAGAAAGTAATCAGCTGCAAGGTTTTCTCTCCATCCTACCTCTGAGACTTCCAGTTCCCCTGGGACAGATCTGTCTAGGATCTTGAGTAATTGTTCAGGCATTTTCTGCATGTAAATTTATTTTTAATGAATTCTAAATTATTTTTATAATTTTATTATTTTTAATGAATGTTTACAATTACATATTACATTGTTTTTGGTTTTTTGACACAGGGTCTCACTGAATGCACTCTGTAGCCCAGGCTGGTCTCAAATTCATGGTGATCCTCCTTCCTCAGCCTCCTGAGTGCTGGGATTACAGGTGTGCACCACCACACCCGGCTTACATTGTTTGTGTAACTGCAAGAAAGACTGCAACAGAGAAAATAAATTTTCATTTGTGCTACTGGAATGTACATTTTTGCGTTCCGTTTACCCCCCTGTACCCCCACCACTACAAAGCTTAGCACAGTCAGCACGTTAGTTTTTCAATGACTACATCCTAATTCTTAGGAAGATGAATTTCAAAAATTATCAGAAAAATGACTGAAATAGATAATAAAGGACCTATAGTGTTGAGATCTATGTGAAACCTTAGAAGTCACTCACGTAGCCCAGTCTCATCAGAAACCGGAAGGGTGATCAAGGTCCACGGACTACTCACCTTATTTATTTCTGTGGGGAAGTGCTGCTTTTATTTTTTATTTAAATTTTATTAGTGCATTGGCAGTACACGATTACATTCAGGCTGGAGTTGGTACATGTACATAACGCGTCATAATTCTTTTTTTCATCCCCTTCCCCTCCCCTCTCTCCTCCCTCCATCTCTTGGTCCTTTTTGCAAAAGATCTGTCACCCTGCTTCCTATTATCTGTCTTTCATTTTGCTCTTTAACTTAGCCATGCTTTGGGTTTTTCCTAGAAGATGAACCATGGGATTTTTAAGATTCTGCATCCAATTTATTTCACTTAACGTTTTGGTCTCAGTGCATCTGTTTTCCTAGAAATGACTCAAATAACACATTTATTTTCATAGAATTTCTGTACATTCATACTTACTTGAAGCAATTCAGTTAATTCAATTAAGCGCACTTCATGGGAGGCAGCCCTTGTCCGGTTGCTGGGCCAGTTTCCACAGGGAAGCTTCTCCCTCATGCCCTTTCTAATGTAACTGCTAGAGAAGGCTCACCTGTCCCTGTTCGTCTGGAGCAAACAAGGTTTGAGAGCTCCACGTTTGAGTGAAATGACCCGGGGAGGAAGCAGGAGCAGGGGAACCGCGGGGATGACGGGGGTCACTGGGCCACGTGCCGGTGCCTGACTCATCTTCTGCCCTGTCCAGTTCCTGAGCCTCTGGCGGTGTGCAGGTGCAGCCCAGCCCGCTCACCCGCATGCCTGTGTTCTAGGTTCTCCCATGGCGCCGGCCAGCGTGGGCAACTGCAGCCCTGAAGCAGTGTGGCCCAAAACAGAACCTCTGGAGATGGAAGTGCCCCAGGCCCCCATCCAGCCCTTCTACAGCTCTCCAGAGCTGTGGATCAGCTCTCTCCCAAGTAAGTGAGCCTTGATCTTTCTTGCTGGGTCTCATGTCCCGTTCAGTCCTCTCCTGTCACACCTTCTGCCTGCATTACCTTGCTGTGTACAGAAGAGCTGCCTGCCCCCCAGTGCCCGCTGCATCTGCTTCCTGAATGTTGGAGTCACCAGGGAGTAAGAAGACATCGCCCGAATGTGTTTGCCCATGGGGATGCTCTGATTGGTTAGGACTCCGTGTCATGCCGCCCTTAGGTGGGCAGGAGACCTGGGTCTAAGTCTGGTTAGGCTTGGTGACAAAGCCAGCTGTGGGCTTGGGAGGTTGAAGGCCATAGATTTGGATGAAGTGGCTCTTGATGTTGAGGAGCTTTAGGGGCTCTCGTTGAACTGGGCACACATTTTTCTTAAGGATCAACATCATTGCCCTGGTATCCTTTTCGTGCTACACTTGCTATACTGACAGAACAGATGTGCTAAGACTTTCAGAAAGACGGCTTTCTTCTTATTCCTCTAGTTTCTTGAAACCAAAAATGAGTTACAGACTAGTTACTTTACAGTTTCCCTCCTTCTAATGCCTATTGGTGCAGATCTGGATCTGGCACTTTGGTTGGTGAAATTCTAGCCCGGAGCATAGCACAGAGATGGTGTAGAGGGGCCTTAAGCCTTGCTTCAAGGCAGCCTTGCATGACTCTCCCAGTATGCTGATGCCTCCATTTATTGCAGGGAGGGTAACTGTGGCAGAGGCCTTCCCGAACGCCAGTTGAAAGGTGGCCTGATGTCAATGCACTTGGGGGACTCTTAGGGATGAACGGGACTCTCACTGTTACCTCTCGCCTTGCAGTGACTGACCTGGACATCAAGTTTCAGTACCGTGGGAAGGAGTATGGGCAGACCATGACTGTGAGCAACCCCCAGGGATGCCGGCTCTTCTACGGGGACCTGGGTCCCATGCCCGACCAGGAGGAACTCTTTGGTCCGGTCAGCCTGGAGCAGGTCAAATTCCCAGGGCCAGAACACATCACCAATGAAAAGCAGAAGCTGTTTACCAGCAAGCTACTGGATGTCATGGACAGAGGACTGATCCTGGAGGTCAGCGGTCATGCCATTTACGCCATCAGGCTGTGCCAGTGCAAGGTGTACTGGTCTGGGCCTTGTGCCCCTTCACTTGTTGCCCCCAACCTGATTGAGAGACAGAAGAAAGTCAAGCTCTTTTGTCTGGAAACATTCCTGAGTGGTGAGTCTTTTATTATGAGATTGGTGATGGAGTTGCTTTCTGGAAGTTTATCTTCTTCTACCCTTCTCATGCTCCTCCTTCCTTTCCTGGCTCAGCAAAGACCTTCAGCACAAAATTTCTTTTGGAGGTCAAGGGAGAGGAGAGCCTTGGCTCTAAAAGATGAAAGCAACCTAGGCAATGAAGAAGGGAGAAGCTGCTTTTAGGTTGGTTGTCACCCCTTCAGTGGCAGAAGAGGGCGACAGTCATATAATTACCACCAAACTTTATCAGCTTGTCTTTAACTTTGGAAGGAAACTGTCATATTCGACAAAGCACGTACTCTTTCTTCTGGGAGGTATCTGAATGGTGAATTCAAGCAACAATTTTAGGGAGAGTATTGAGATTTGGATTTCACAGTCTGATGTCAACTCCACGTTTAGAAGTCTTATTTTCCAGAAGCGATGGGAATGTTCTATATTAACACTGTTCAGTATGATAGCCAGTAGCCATAAGTGGCTATTGAGCAGGTGAGTGTGACTGCTGTAACCACGTAATTATCTAATCTTAATTAATTTAAAATCGAGCCACCCATGACTAGTGTGTCAGGCAGCCCGTAAGGTGGTATTCACCAGGTGGGTATGAAATGACCTACGGCATCAAACTTACTCTTCCACTTCTGCAGACCTCATTGCCCACCAGAAAGGACAGATAGAGAAGCAGCCGCCATTCGAGATCTACTTATGCTTTGGGGAAGAATGGCCCGATGGGAAGCCCTTGGAAAGGAAGCTCATCTTGGTTCAGGTGAGGAATAAAGATGAGATGACAATGCTTCTTCCTGTCAGTGCTTTACCCCAGGTCCGGGTGAGTCCTGATTGAGTGCCCGTCAGTCTGTACGTTTTTAATCCTATCAGACGGGGAAGCAGGCTCGTTTTGTACAGTAGGACCAATCTAGAGACTGTCCTAAAAATGGGTGGTTGACTTAGGGTGACTTCCATTCTTTCCAGCTTTTCTTAGAGAAACTGTTGGGAGTTGTTTTTGAGAACGTAAAATCTTCTAGGAATGGCAGCAAGCAGGTGGGACTGAGCTGTGCACCAAGGCAGGAGACGACGACACTTGGTTAAAAGTCTTGCCAAGGAAGCAGTCATTTATTCTGGCTGTGGCCTGATGCTATTCCACTTTTTTTTTGTATCAGGGATTGAACTTGGGTCCTTGTGCTTATGAGGCAGGAGGCGGTACCACTGAGGCGGTACCACACCAATAACCAGATTCTTTTTTTTTAATTCTTTAATCTGTTTTTTTTTTTTTTTTTTTTTTTTATCC